ACTCAAACAACTTAACCTACACATGATTCACCTTAAGCACAACCAAGAAAATGATTTACATACCTTAGGCAGTAGATACAACTTGAAATCCCCAGCTGGTATACCTCAGAAAAACCCTCAATCACACCACAACACTATAAGAGTTGTATTCTCTTCTTAACTAAATTTTTGTGTTCAAGTTGGTGTGTAAGCACTTGTATTTCGCCTTGAAAATCTAATATATATGAAGGAGGGACTGATTCTTAGCTTAAACATAAAGAACCACATGAAATCTGAGGTTAGTTACCTTTGAAGAACCCTCCAAAACAGCCACAAGTTGAAGAACTATGATCTAGCAAGCACCACAGGATTGCTAGCGTTGGATTCACGTTTTTATCTTAGGTTTTCACCCTAGAATTATGGAGGAACCCTTGGAGAGTATTTAGGAGGGTTTTGGAACTATTTAGAATGAAACAAATGAGTTAAAACGACATATAGCTGAAGTTTTACACCGACTTTGTTGGTCCCATGGGAGCTGCTTATGCGGTCTCACGAAAATGCGAATATCTCTCCACTCCAATATCGTATCAATAAACACTTAAATGATTTAGAAACTAGACTCGTAGATCTTCAATTTAGAAAGTAGATCACCCCATAATTCCTAGTATATTTGGAGAAAAGCTCAGCTACATTTGACCTAATCTTCAACAAATTTATGAATGTAACTTGTGATGACCTTTGCCAACTCTTGTTCCACAACTTTCTTGCCTTCAAAATGTAGCAAATGACTATCATACAACTAAAATAACTCATATAATAGCCTCCTTATCATGTTAAGAACCCTAATATTACCCCAAAGTACATGTTATAACATTCCAAACTTGTCGATTTTCGACGAAACTTATTTTCTTTAATTGGTTTAGCTTCTAAGCTTTCCAAACCTCTTGGTACTCGTTATTCATGATCTTAAATATTTGTAACCTTCAAGGTAACATGATTAGCTTACTTTATTTTCTTTAAAATATGATCTTTTTTCTGAGCTTGCATCAATTGACTTACGACGTACTCTCACGTACGAAAAAATGGGGTGTAACATCATCCCCCCTTTTGGAACGTTCGTCCTTGAATGTTGACTGATGCATTTATCCATATCTTATGCAATAGCTCTTACAAAGGTTAGGCCGCGGATAAATCTAGGGAGTTGTTCAGTGGATAAATCCAAAGGTTAGGGCATTCCCCCTTTTAGGCCTATTCCTCACACCACGACTTGTGGTCGAAATTCTTCCAATCTCGTAAATGTTTCTACCTTCTTTCATGTAGCCTTTACGATTCTGACCTTGTATGTGCACCTATGCAACTCTTATATCCTTTCCCCTCAACTTTTAGCCAATCTCCAGGCTCACTTTGTGAACATATATAGTAATATGACAAGCTGTCCCTCTAGGTAACTATAGGTTTACTAAATTTCTTCGCTCGGCACTTTGTCAAACTTATGACTATTTCTATATCTTGTTTCATAGCCTCAGTTATCTATGCTTATGGCTTTACTACAACTAGGTAGATCAAACTATACAATAACTCTTACTTCAGTTTATTATTACTGAGGTCTGCCACCCAAGGCCAGGTTACTCTCTCACTGTTTTTCCTATATGCCTAAATCTAAGCCATTTAATGCTTCCTTATTACTGTTCATCTAAAGAATGGCATCAGAATCTACTCTCATACGTTGGAATTTTTATCCATATATTGTTGATTCACCTTAATTTTGATCTATAATCCACCATTGATAACTTGAAACCTTTTACGTAATACATTGTCACTAGGGCTCACGTTTCATCAGGGAACATATGAAGTGGCTTTCCTAATCCACCTAGGGACAATACTATACTTCAATAACCGTATTTCATAGCATCCCAATGTGATTCATCTTATGGGGGTATTCTAATCCCATGCAATTCATGAAATCCCTTTCTCGTTAAATCATTACTCAATCAAGGCCTAAACGTCATCCACTTATCTATCACAATTACACCCTTGTTCTACCACCAGGGCAGCATTTCATCTCTTCTAATTTTTTCTAGCCTTAGACTCATCTGAGTTTATTTAGGATGTACCAAGCTTCCTATAACTTACGGAAACCATCAACTCTCTTGTTTTGATAGGCTTAATCCCAAAGCCTTACCTATTATTTCCACCATATCACTCACCTTTTCTCATCCTTACTCCTATCTACCTAAAATCTTGTCGTTCTATGATACTTTATCTTGCGACCTATATATATCTATTTATATTACTCGCAACCTTCCTTTAACTTGCTAGCACCATAGATTTCATTTCGTACCTTCTCTATTTTCTTTAAATGTAAGCAATTACTTTTCCTGGTCATTCTGCCACTTATTGCATGATTACTTGGCTTATCTTATTGCTCACGAATACTTGAATTTCCTATAAATCATATGATCTCAAATATCACTTTTGGTTTTTACTTTCCGTTCATTAGCCACGATAGGTGCCACTTTCTAATGGAGTATATGTATAATGTTGTAGTGAGACTGTTGTTAGAAGATCATTTCTTCTTCAATTTACTATGCTTAGGTTGAAGCCTTCTCCCTTATTTCCTCAACTAGTCTTTCATAGTAGTAATTAGGGGAGATTCTCTGACTCCTGTAAAGCTACAAGCTTATTACACCGCATACCCAAAGAAATTTTTGATGTACTCACTACCCTATAATTATCCTTAGTTACTTACCTTTGCGCCCTTGTGCTCGTAGGGTTGCTTATGAAATGAAATTTGACTGTTTCCCTAGTGGAACTCTCTTTTATTTCTATAACACTTATATAGTACCTTTAACTACCCCAACTCCTATCTAAATATTTCTGAAGGATTACGATGTCATATCTGCGAGACTAAATTCTTTGTGTTGGGGTTCACTACGTTTATCTTACACGATCTGTTGATTAATCAGTATCTTCTTGTCTAGCCACAAATAAACTCTTCCCGAATCAACTACTAACTACTCGTTAGTCCATTCTCATATCTATATTTTGCATAATATCTCTTTGGTTATTTTTTTTGTCTTAACTTACCACTCGTACTAGTTCCTTATGTATCAAGTATTCATTCGAACTTATTTATCATAACATCTGGTATGGGAACCCTTACTGTCTTTCCCTGGAAGCGTGCTTGCATAATGTTCTAGAGTCGTAACATATCTATAGGGTCTGAATTAATGCAATCTTATTCCTTTCGCCAATCTACCACATTCTTCCTTTACTATTCCATAGTTACCTAAACAACATATCTCCGACTTAATATTGTATCACACCATCTTCCCCCGGGAGTACTAACATTTACTGCTATGAAGATTTACTGCTATGAAGGTGACACCCAGTGTAACTGGCATACTTAGTCCCTTAAATTTAACTCTACTCACAGTGCTTGTTTTAGGAAAGCGTCTTCATGAATGACCTTAAAAGGTTATTCTTTTGTTGTCTATTCTATTATTGCTGGAATGCATTCTCTAAAATTCTCACGATATCGAGTATTATCAAATCTTCCGATCCCTGATTCATGTTCAATATATCTTGTTCACTAGCCCATTCTGATTTCTATTACTCGGGGGGTTTAATTCATTCGAACTTATTTATCATAACATCTGGTATGGGAACCCTTACTATCTCTCCCTGGCGGCGTGCTTGCATAATGTTCTAGAGTCGTAACATATCTGTAGGGTCTGAATTAATGCAATCTCATTCCTTTCGTCAATCTACCATATTCTTCCTTTACTATTTTATAGTTACCTGAGCAACATATATCCGACTTAATATCGTATCACACCATCTTCCCCCGGGAGTACTAACATTTACTGCTATAAAGATTTACCTATAAATGTTTTACCTTTTCTTCTTTGGCGTCGTTTCACATCTCTATGGACTCTTGCTTGACTTGCCGTAACCCTTCTGTACCAGGGATAACTGAATTTCTTACGTACGAAGATGACACCCAGTGTAACTGGCACACTTAGTCCCTTAAATTTAACTCTACTCACAGTGCTTGTTTTAGGGAAACGTCTTCATGAATGACCTTAAAAGGTTATTCTTTTGTTGTCTATTCTGTTATTGCTGGAATGCATTCTCTAAAATTCTCACGATGTCGAGTATTATCAAATCTTCCGATCCCTAATTCATGTTCAATATATCTTGTTCACTAGTCCATTCTGATTTTTATTACTCAGGGGGTTTAACGTTTCCTTTCGGTAATCACGTTTCAGTCACCAACTCATTTCTCGAAGTGAAGGTATGACTTTATGGCTTAGACTGTTTTATTGTCTCAAGGCCAGTCACCTCTTGTCTTTTTCTTCACTTGACGATAGATGCTGTCATGTCATATTTTGATTTACCATTATCATCTTTTTATCACATCTTACTCATAATACTTTATTTACTCTCTTCTTATTCTCTAGCTAATATTTCTGTCTATCACTTTATTCTAAAAATTTCAACAAAACATTCTTTCGCTTTTTACTTCCCTTGCTTCATCTCACTAGCTCTTCAGAACGCCTAACATACTCTCTCCTTATTTTTTTTTACTAGGGATGGGAATCATATTAAGCTAAATATTTATCCCTTCTAGGATTCCAGTGCCAATCTTCTAAATTTTTCCAGACATTCTAGTATTCATATCTAAATGTACTATTCTAGATTGCACCATCGGGGTGTCTCACAAGGAGAACTATTACCACATTTGTAATATCCTTCTGAAATGTTAGCTAATGATAATAATTCATCTACCATTTTGGGTTACTCTAACCTAGGGTTGGCAATTTTGACCCAAAAATTGTAACCTGCCCAAGGTTGTATGGGTTGGGTCAGTAATTAAAAAGTCAATGGGTCAAAATGGGTTGGACCCATACTGACCCGTCGGAATATTGGGCCCAAACGTGTAAAAAAAAAATTGTAACCCAACGGGTTAATATATAGACCATCCCAACGGGTCAAAATAAATAAAACCTACGCGTGTTCCTCTTTAATTTCTCAGAAGACGCAAGTTAGACAGACTACTCCAAGCTTTTTTCTCCTTGATTTCTTAGACAAATGCAAGGTTAGACTACTGTTTTTGGCTCTTCAACTCTATTCTCATCCTCTTTTAATCCTTTTCCTTGATTCTTTTTATTTCAAAGTGTTGAATTTCATTTTTTCTGTGGATTATGTTATTGTTGGTGAATTGGGTGTTTGAAGCTACTATTTATTTTTTATTTAGGGTTTATATGAGCTCATAATTTAAAATCTTTGTAGATAATATTATTTCTTTTATCTTTCTATGTGCTTTGCTTTAAGCTCTGAAAGTGCTGTTTTTACTTCATTTTTTAATAAGTTGATGGAGCATATGGATGAAGTTGAAGGATCTACTGAAATAAGCTCAACAAGTGCATGTATGATGACTTCAGTGGTATGGGATAATTTTTTAAAATTACCACTTGACATTAATCCGGATAATAGGTTGAGGGCAAAGTTTAAAGATTGTGGTCGGGTATATTTGACTGATTTAATTGCTGGAACATCAAATTTAAAGCGTCACCGAGCTAAACGTCATAACAATGTGTCAGAATCAGGTCGTTATCCAGCTGCGAATATTGAAATGTTCCATGAATTGATTGCCAAAGCTATAGTAAGACATAACTTGCATTTTAGTTTTGTAGAATATGAAGGGATAAGAGAGATACATACTTTTTGAATCCCACCGTCAAGACTATTATAAGAAATACTTCAAAGATTGATGTTTTAAAATTATATCAAAAGCAAAAAGGAGTAGTTCATGATGAACTTGCAAAAATTCCTAGTAGAGTATGCTTGACTACTGATTAGTGGACATCAATTACCTTAAATGGTTATTTTTGTCTGACGACTCATTTTGTCGACTTAAAATGGATTTTACAAAAGAGGGTTCTAATATTCCGCCATGTTCCTCCTCCGCATGCTGGTCAAATTCTTGGACCGATATTGATTAGTTTCTTGAACGAGTGGGGAATCGAGAAGAAAATATTTTCAATAATCTTAGATAATGCAACTTACAATGAGAAAATTGTAGACAGTTTGAAAGAGCACTTGAACTTAATGAATTCTTTGGTATGTAACACGGACTTTGTCCATATTCGTTGTGCAAATCATATTTTAAATCTGATTGTTAAAGCAGGTCTAAAGTCAATAGAGGCTGCAATCTTTAACATAAGAAAGAGTATTAAATATATGAAAGGTATTGGCAAATGGAAGAAACATTTTCAAAGTATTGGCAAGAGTATACTCCAGTTTTATCCTTGGCAGTTGTTCTCGACCCTCGTTACTAGTTAAAGTTTGTGAAGTTTTGCTTTTCAAAGCTTGATTCTTTAACTTGTAATGAAATGACAAAGGTTGTTGAAGATAACTTGCATCGATTGTTTAAGGAGTACGTGAAATCTCCAACATCCAATAGTGCATTGGTGCAAAGTATTGTTGATGGACATGATACGAAAATGAGAGATGAAATGGATGAGTTTGATTTGTTTGAGAGTCAGCCAGAATCTAGTTCGCAAAAAACACAATTAGAACTATACTTGGAAGAGCATGTACTAGTTCGCAAGGGTAATAAAAATTTAGATGCACTCAAATTTTGGAAAGATAACATGAATAGATACCCTGAGTTGTCACTGATGGCACGAGATGTTTTAAGTATACCTATTAGTACTGTTGTGTCTGAATCAACGTTCAGCATTGGAGGGCAAGTAATTGAAAAATATCAAAGTTCAATATTACCAGAAAATGCAGAAGCTAAGTTGTGTGCTCAAGATTGGCTCTATGGACATGGAGGTAAAATTTATTCTTATTGATATGTATTATTTAAAAAATTTCTTACTCTATTATGTAGAAAATTTCTTACTCTTTCTCTATAGTAATCAAGTCTTTTGTCTATTTTTAGCGGTTGATGATTCTGATGAGGAGGATATTGCAATTGATGTGGAGAAGATTGTTGCCAGGTGCTGATAAATCAAGATCTTCTATGAGTCTTGGGTTGTTCGATATGAAATTATATTGTGAAAGGTAGAATTTGATTATGATATTACGTGATTTCTTGCAGTCATACTTTCTTAAATGAAAATACCATGATAGTGTTCATGATTTTGAATTTATTAGTTTTTCAGAACAATAAGCTTGTTACAAGAGACGGGAGTAGTTCTGAATTGGTTGTCCTTCTTGCCACTTTCCCTATTCTTCTCTGGTTGCAACACATGAGTCGTTGCTAAGCTTAGTATGTTTCCCTTGATTATGTGCCAATAAAGGTGAAAAATTACATAAACAATGAAATGTTGAAATACATATTTTGGTTTCTAACGTACAATGCACCATTTTTAATAGCACATATATGATTGTCAAAGTAGTTAAAGTAGTGAAAGAGTTAGAAAATATTTACATGTTCTTTAATAAGTTTCATTTTCAAGATCTTGAATTCATGGCAAGTGACTCAAACCTGATGCACTATTTTGGTCTTCTGCTTAATTATGCTTGCTTCTTTTATTGTTCCTGTTTGGTTTTCAAGTTTATTTAGGCCTTTTGGGATATTTTTAGGTAGTAGTATAATTTCCATATAACAATTTAGAGTTATTGCGTAAAATAAAGTCTAATGATATAACTAATTTACATAAATCTATTTTCATTACAGGATGTTGGACGATTGGCAAAGCGGAATATAGAGGAAATGATGAAGTGGTGTAGGAGGCATAGAAAGATGCAATTGAACTATAGCTTTTTAGTGTTGGCATTCAACTGTAATTAAGTGGTTAACTTGATAATTTATAATTCTTGTTTGGCATTTTATCTCGGAGGAATAAGATTTGATTTTTAGAATACTGAAATTGTATTAAATGAGTTGGATTTTTGTTGAATTGTTTTGTTAAACTATATGTGAGTTGTGACAAAACAAGTAAACAAAAATATTTGAGAAAATTTCATGTTACAATGTTCTGTTGGCAGAGATTTGAATTCAAAGTTCAATAGGAAAAAACTAAGAAGGGAAGTTGGGTCAAACGAGTTGGGTTATGACCCGTTATTTGACCCAACTTGACCCGACCCAACTTGACCTAAGCAAAATTTGGGTTGGGTTGGGTTTTGACCCCTTTAATGATCTAACACATTTTGACCCGCGCAAATTTGACCTAACCCGCCCAATTGATACCCCTACTCTAACCCCAACTGGATCTTGCTATCCCCTTCTCCTCTTAAAGTATATCTGTCAACTCCCATAGGGCATAACTAAGATGGATGTGGCCAATTGTACATACTTTTGTTACTGTTGAAGGTAACTCAAAATTCTTATATTTTTCTACCTTAATTGCAAATACCAATAATCTTCATTAGTTGGGTACCTCGTACTCTTTTTCAAGTTGCTTCTTTTACTTATTGAAACTNCATGATCTGCTAAAGACCTAACATTTACGCATCATAAGCATGATGCAAAATCGAGTTCCTCTGATCAACTCTTCCACAACCATATTAAATCTCTTACCAACTGTCTTTGTGGATGTAGGTATCCTTGTATTATCAATAAAATAGAATTTAAGAGTTTCAATCTTTATAACTGAGCTCTACCACACGATCTAGAGTAAGAAGAAAGAGTTACAAACCTAAATGCCCTATAGCATCCTGCTTATAAGTGTAATGCACAACACACCCATAAACAAGACTATACTAGACATTGTTTGTAGACTCCATAGGACAAAATGGCTCTGATACCACTTTTGTCACGACCCAAATCGGAGGGCCGCAATGGGCACTTGGTGACATACCCAACCGAGTACAAACATAACGTATCTTTCTTATCATACCATCATGGGTAAATAGGCTGGAAGGGCCTTCATGATAAAACAAGAGTAAAACATAAGGGAATACTTGACATAGGACGACCCAACATGTAATACAAACTTATATATATGACATACGGTCTTATAAGACCAAAATGAATACTCATAGAACATAGGCCGAAAAGGCCATACAATCTTTCACACACATGACATCTATTTACAAATCCTCTAAGAGTATATACATATCATAAAGTTCGGGATAAGGCCCCGCCATACCAATCAATAAATGTCCAAATCATACTGACCAAATAGGCAATTCTGGAGCAAGTGGAGTACACCAACACCTTCCGATGAGCTGATAGCCTACTAGGAGGACTATCAACCTGTCTATCGGGAGCTGCGAGCATGAAACGCAGTGTCCCCAAGAAAAAGGACGTCAGTACAAATAAAGTACCGAGCATGTAAGGCAGGTTAGCATAAATAAGAACAGTAATGTAAAGTGAGATAGAGGAGATACAACCTGTAGCATCTGAGCGCCTATGAGGGCTATGGACATGAAATGCATGATATATATATATATATACATATACTTTTAAAAACATACACCTCTGTGGGCATCATCATCATCATACCGTACCCGGCTTCGAACAGGACTCGGTAAAAATGTACCCAGCCATCATAAGGCTTAGTAGAATTGTACCTGACCACGTGGAGCTCGGTAAGCCCAACTGATCAGTACTTGCACAATCGGTGCCATATCCGGCCGACTATAGTACGGCTCGGTAGAGTAAAATAGATACTATATATAGACTGATGAAATCATGTTCTAAACCTTTCGGAGTGACTTAAGGTCGTTGCACGTTTGATTAACATTATGGATATCCATACCCTCAATATGAACCTCAGTAGGATTCAAGGATCATACACACTTGCTTAGAATAACTTTATAAGGAAAGAACATGGACAACCTTAGTTGCTAGGAGTAGATACGTTATGAAATAGCGTATTCATTTCACTTTAGATCATGCCAAAAGAAAGAAGGAAGTGCCTTAACATACCTTTAAAATCTTCTATCCAATCGTCAAGCAAGCTCAATATGATCTTCATATGTCTACAATGAGTAAACCGACTTCGTAGTCATTATATAAGTGTTGTAACTCTCATATTTGGAAACCAATATTCTACAAAAAAACGGACAGCATGTCCCCTATTTGCGATACATCCCATATGTTACAAAATGTCACCAAACAGCCCAAACAACAACAATATAATTTACAATAAGCGCTCCGATTAATTCAACAACACTTTTGAGCGGCAAGCTCGATTTACGATTAACAAAATAGGGTTTGAATCAAATTCCTTTTCCATGAATCTGTCTACAACATATATAACATCATACTTATGCTTACCATATTATTTTTCACCCAAAACATCATAAGCATAATCTTCTAATATCGTCCACACGCCTAGCACCTTAACCTTTATCATCAACATCTTATTTCTTAGGTTATCTTTTTCAATCCACTGAATTAACACATAGATAAGCTTAACAATAGCATCCACAACATAATAAAAATATTTATAAGAATTTTTCAGCCACAACCATATATATAACGTCAACACATCCCACAAAAAAATAACGATTCCTTACGCCATGTCAATTACTATCTTGTATATTTTCACTCAAACAACTCGACCTACACATGATTGACCTTAAGAACAACCAAGAAAATGATTTACATACCATAGGCAGTAGGTACAACTTGAAATTTCTAGCTAGTGTACCTCACAACAACCCTCAATCACACTACAACACTATAAGAGTTGTATTCTCTTCTTTAATAAACTTTTGTGTTCAAGTTGGTGTGTAAGCACTTGTATTTTGCCTTGAAACTATAACATATATGGAAGGAATGATTCTTATCTTAACCATAAATAACCGCACAAAATCTGAGGTTACTTACCTTTGAAGAACCCTCCAAAATAGCCACAAGATGAAGAACTACGATCTAGCAAGAACCACGGGATTTCTAGTGTTGGATTCATGTTCTTATCTTAGATTTCACCCTAGAATCATGGAGGAACCCTTGGACAGTATTTAGGAGGGTTTAGGAACTGTTGTGGATGGAAAAATGAGTTAAAATAATATATAATTGACTTAAATACAAGCTAAAGTTTTACACCGACTTTGTGGGCCCCATGGGAGTTGCTTGTGTGGTCTCACAAAAATGTGAATATCTCTTTACTTCGATGTCATATCGACAAACAGTTAATAGGTAGATCACCCCATAATTCCTAGCATATTTGGAGAAAAGCTCAGCTATATTTGACCTAGTTTTCAGTAAATTTATGAATGTAACTTGTGATGACCTTTGCCAACTCTTGTTCCACAACTTGCTTCCCTTCAAAATGTAGCAAATGACTATCATACGACTAAAATAACTCATATCATAGCCTCCTTATCCCGTTAAGAACCTTAGTCTCACCCCAAAGCACATGTTATAACTTTCCAAACTTGTCGACTTTTGACGAAACTTATTTTCTTCAATTGGTTTAGCTTCTAAGCTTTCCAACCCTCTTGGTACTCATTATTTATGATCTTAAATAATTATAACCTCCAAGGTAACATGATTAACTTACTTTATTTGCTTTCAAATATAATCTTTTTTCTGAGCTTACATCAATTGACTTACGACGTACTTTCACGTACGAAAAAATAGGGTGTAATGGGTTGGTTCATTAATTATGTTCTCAATGGGATGAGAACTTTGGTACTTGTTAGGTTTCACAACCAATTTGTTTCATTTTAATGTTTCTCCAATGTTTTGTTGCTAAGGAACAGGTTCATGGACAGGTTCCATTGAGGTATGAGATTCAGTTCCTCTTTGTTTAGTTCTCCCTGTCAGGTTGCCCTGAATAGAAGAACTTGTTCCATCACCTGTTCCTTTTTTTGGTGTAGCTTCAGCCTGGGCTGTGATTTCATTTAAATTTATTACCAGCCCAATTGCTTCATATTCATGTTCTTGTCTCTCAAAAATAATGTTAGTTTCATCAAAAACAATATGTACACTTTCTTCTACATGCATATTTCTTTTGTTGTATACCTTATAAGCTTTACAATGTGAAGAATATCCCAAGAATACTCCCTCATCACTTCAGGGATCAAACTTACCTAGGGAGTCTTTACCATTGTTGTGCACAAAGCACTTGCATCCAAATGGCCTAAGATGGGATATATTTGGTTTTCTCCCTTTAAGTAACTCATAGGGAGTCTTCTCTACAAGAAGTTTAGTCATGCACCTATTGATGATGTAGCATGCAGTATTTATAGCTTCTGCCTAGAAGTTATGGGGCAGTTTACTAAAAAGAAACATAGTTCTAGCCATATCTTCAAGTGTCTTATTCTTTATTTCAACTACTCCATTTTGTTGTGGAGTCCTAGAATCACAGAAATTATGATCTATGCCATGCTCTTCACAAAATTCAGCAAACATAGCATTTTCAAATTCAGTTCCATGATCAGACCTAATTGATGCAAGTTGATTACCTAGTTGTTTCTGAGTTTTCTAAAAAAAGAAGTAAACATGTCAAATGCTTCATCTTTAGATGTTAAAAATAATGTCCAGGTAAACCTAGAGTAATCATCAACTAGAACCATCACATATCTTTTACAACTTATGCTTAATGTTCTCATTGAACCACAGAGATCCATATGGACCAGTTCTGTTGTTCTGGTGGTACTTACCACTTTCTTGCATTTAAAAGAGAATCTTACCTGCTTCTTCCTTGTACAAGCCTCACAAACTTTGTCTTCTTTAAACTTGATGTTAGGTAGTCCTATTACCAGGTCCTTGGAGACTAATTTGTTAAGTTGACTCAGACATGCATATCCAAGTTTCTTGTGCCAAAGGAGGGGATCATTGTCCAACACACTTAAGCAAGTGAGTTCATTTCCTGAAAGTGTGGACAGATATACAATGTATATATTGTTTACTCTTTTTCCCTGAAAAATAATATTGTTAGTGGTACAATTTATCACAAAACATTTGGTAGAGGTTAAAGCTACCAAGTTACCTTTATCATAC